TACCTTACAACTGCCGACTTAGGGAACTTAAACTTTTTCCTCTTAAGTACAGGCAGGTTCGTGGAGATCTCATACAGGCCTATCGGATATTGAGGAACCGTGAATGTGCCCTAAACCCCGACGATTTCTTCACCCTGGCCACAACAAAAAACCTGCGTGGGAACTCTCTAAAACTTAGAGGATGCCGATGCCACCTGGACGTTCGCAAATACTGTTTTTCACAGCGAGTCTTCGGTGCCTGGAACGGGCTTCCCGAGGACGTAATAATGGCGGATACCACGGAGACGTTCAAGCAAAGACTCGATGCATATTTGCTTGGACACTATCGCTTGTCTGGACAGAACAGCTCTGTGGTGCTAAACGAACGCCTTGCATACTCATACCGCTAATGCGGATGACTGTCATTACATTTTACTGAAATCATCTACAACTGAATGTTCTCAAGTTTTGGTTCTACATTTTCAGGAAAATGTTCTGTTAAACGTGTATATTACTGACAACATTTCAGTGAGATATTGCATGTACCTTTTACAATAGGGTTTTCAAAGGCATTGCCTATTACTCTTAAAATATACTGACCTACTGACCTAATTCTACCCACTAGTAATCCCTGTATAGAAGCGGCAGCAACTGCGTTTACGGTGTTCATCCTGCGACGACCTACTTCTGATAATTCATCATCCATACCACTGCTGCCTTCTGTCCCTGCGTTACTGCTGCAAAACTGACGACCTACGGGACACTTACAGTCGCAGCAGCAATTGTCACATGCATTATTATAATCTACAGTAGATGTGCTAACTCATGGAATGTCAATCAAAATTTCGAAATGCGTTCTCGTTTCGAAAAGATAAATTAAGTAGTGTTGTAAAACTAGTCATGATGCAGCATAAATGTATAATGATTCAGTTACGCCAGGGTGTCGGCTTTCGAAAGAACTTATTTTCGGCTGCATGCAAGATCTATACTCTGCAAAAAACGACTACTTATGTAGCATGCAATTCTCTCATTGATTTTCGATGCCCTTGAAAATTCAATTATATTTCATGGAAAACATGCATAAAAATATTCATTCTTTTACTTATTCGGAAGAAATTCACGTCTTTTTCTAATTTCATACGCAAAAGAAGAGTATAATTCGGTCTTTAAAAAGTTTTTAATTGTGAGATTTCTTAATACCGTTAAATGGCCGTTCACGAAACGTCATGCGTCTGCATTTACGAATGTGGCTTGTAAAGTTAACAATATTGCTCAAATGCACTGTTTAATTTTATGAACCTCAAATAGTCTCCTCTTAACACCGTAGAGAGATGCATGGTTTTCCATACACGGACAATATACAGCTTGTAGTTTTGAAACCCTGAATGCAAGTGTAACACCAGGTCGAGTTCAAAATTATTCGGGAATTAGAAAAGTTTTTTAAAACCGAATTATACTCTTCTTTTGAGTATAAAATTGGAAGAAGACGTGATTTTCTACCGAATAAGTAAATGAATGAATATTTTTATGCATGTTTTCCATGAAATATAATTGGACTTTCAGGGGCATCGAAAATCAATGATAAAGTTGCATACTACATAAGTAGTCATTTTTTGCAAAGCACAGATCTTGCATGCAGCCGAAAATGAATTCTTTCGAAAGCTGGCACCTTGCGGTAACTGGATCATTATAGATTTATGCTGCATTATGATTAGTTTTACAAGACTACTTAATTTATCTTTTCGAAACGAGAACGCATTTCGAAATTTCGGCTGACATTTCATGAGTTAGCACATCTACTGTAATGTGGTTAGAATGGACATACGGAAAGTTTTCTTAGATACCGAATGCACTTGGGCACAGTAAACACTGAGCATTGCGTAAGCTATTTTAGTGTGTATACAAAAGGAGAAATATATGTACATGTCTTCATAGTCCTCTAGGGAAAAAGGTTTAAGGGGCGTGAGAGTACGGCTGAAGAAGAAAACAGGCTCTAGCTGAAAAGTCTGCAGTTAATTGGTGTATGTCATCATTCGGGCCGAGCAGGGATATCCCGCTCTATATGAGAAACAGGTTGCGTCATTGTGGAACACTTCATCAACCGTATCATTAAAAACCTCGAGAGTTTCATTGGAATTACGTCATCACCCGCTTCTTTCACAATACCAGCTAGTTGTTTACTTCCGTCGAGGATGAAGATGGTCGTTTGTGCCATGCTCCTTGACGCACATACAAAATCTGATGCGATCTAACCAGCAGTCGAGATGCAATTGGTTCAAAGCGAGTAATTAGTCATATCGATCGTCGGCTCCTCGACTGACGATGATTTAATATGATGCAACGGCAGCCCTTGACCGCAACAACAGACATGAACGCGGGGAGGGACACTACTTGAGGGAAGCATTATCCAAAATCCAAGACGGCTTCCTATTTGTGAAGATTTTCGATTAATTTCAAATACTCAAGAAAGGAAAACTTGGTAGCCTCATTCATATTAGCTATGGTGTTGTTTTACTCAACAAATAAAAGTAACTATACCGTATTCCGGAGTGTACTTCAGTTCATCTATGTACTTGCGAAGGCATTCATAGACAGGACTGAACTTCATTCTCCAAATGAGACAAACGGTTGTCTGCTCACCGACGCCAAGATGCGCATCAGAACTTTGTCATAACCTGAAATCGAGCTTCTGAATACGTTGATTTCATCGATGCTTTTTCGAGGGTACGTAGTAGTAACCTGTGTTGGCATCAGGCGATGCGGCTCACTCATGCTCGCCTACGTGGTGCTCAGGTGAATACGAATGATCCCTAGAAGATTCTCCTTAACTCGGGCGTTAGATGTATGCTAATTTGATTAAATACGAAGGCACCGTAGAATTTATAGAAAACGTCGGTAAATGAATACCTCCGAAATTTTGGGCTGTCTAAAAATCCTACGAGATTAAAAAATGCCATTATTACCTTTATTCTAAAATACAAGCAAATGTTCAGATGGACTTCATTCCAACCGTTATCGATCAAGAGCAATATGATGGTTTGATTGGCGACTCCGCAAATGTCTGCGTGTGCTCAACAGCATGACGGGAACAGGGGTGGTGACTTGCGCATGAATTAACTTTAAACAATAGTAGACATTCGCTGCATATACCGCACTCTCTCCTCTTCCACTACCTGGACTCATTGTACAGAGAGAATCAAAAAGACCGGGGGCGGAGTCAAACGTAGGTGCAGAAGATGAAGATGCGATCACTGGAACAAGAAATTTATTTGCCTGACGTTTCGGATTCTCACTCGAATCCATCATCAGAGACATTCGCAGATAGAGTTGAAGGTGGCACTAGGAGTGCAGTATTTATAGCCCGTGGCTGCCGTGGGACCGTATGCGCGCTGCAATTAACAGTTCTCGCAATCGCCGCTGGGGTCGTAATTGATGCGGCTGTGGCTTGGCGGTCCGAGTCCGAGTCGCGATTTCGTCATCCGTCCTGGATATTGGTGTGACGAGTGCTCGGCAAACTGGCTCACTGTCACCGCGATACTTGTTCGCCCGCGCCCTCCTCACGTGACTGATTCTCCTGTCCAGGGAAAATCGCAATACGGAATAGGGTACCGGGAGTTCATTGTGTTTGTTGATGGATTGCGGGCCGAAGAACCTCATTCGACACCAAGTGTCCTCCCTCCTCATGGCTCATAGGCCGCGCGATGTGCTTTCCAAGGTCGAACGCGATGCACTTAAGGAACTCAGGGCCGACAATGACCTCGTTATCGTGCCTGCGGACAAGGGGCGTTCAACGGTCGTATTGGACAGGACAGACTACAATCAAAAAGTCAAAAGCTTGTTGGAGGATCGTCAATCCTATGTCCCATGCGAATCAAACCCCATGAAAACGCTGACACGCGAGATTAACGCGACGCTGTTGGCAATGGAGAACTCAGGTGCAATATCGCCAATCGACCGACGCATGGCGAGAGCACAAGAAACAGCCCTAGCCCGATTCTACGGTCTCCCAAACGTGCACAAAGAGGGCGCTCCTCTCCGGCCTATCGTATCACTAAAGGGCACGCCAACCTACGGACTGGCAAAGTGGCTGCTCCAACGTCTCAAGTTTCTGACCTCCGATTCGAACACCACAGTCAGCTCGTCAACGTAATTCTTGGAG